GTTTTGAAGATCTATACGGACAAACTAGACTTTATAGTCTTCATAAAAGTTGTAGATCTATGTCTTACCGTTTCAGAACATCTTGAATCACCACCATATCATTTTTGAACAAAAAGTTATGCTAAATTTACTAATAGCAGTACATGGAGTATTTCAAGAACAGAAAATCTGGACAGCACCTGCCCTGTACTTTTTGACTCTTTTTCAGGTACATAACAACAAAACTAGATTTTGATTCCTTCATAAGAGTTGTAGATTTATGAAATACCTTTCCAGAAAGTCCTAGATCACTTAAATCGGAGCTCTGTACAAAAAGATATGTAGAAAATACTAGTAGATGTCTAGTATAAAAACGGGTTATAGAAACTTACCAAGAGGAGCAACTTGATCTTCACCAAAAACGAATTTTGTGTGTTGATTTAGTAGAAATCCATGGGTTTTTTTTTATGAACCTTCAGCTTCTTGTTCTTACAGAGGAGAAAGATAGAGAGAGATAGAGATAGAGAGATAGAGATAGAGAGATAGAGTAGAAAGATAGAGATAGAAAGAGAGAGGTAGATATTTCTTCTTCTTTTTTTGTTTCGGAAGAGTAGAAGAATAGGGAGCTTACGGATAGATATGAAATAAAATGATTCCTCAACTACTAAATATTCTTAGATAAATACAAAATGTTGTAAACCCAAAACTTAATTATATATTATATTTAATAACAACTCGTCAAAATAATATTAAGTGTTACATATAGCAACACCATGGAACTTCCTTGCCAATATTAACACAACCTAAAGTAAGAAATTTTCATATACTGACCATTTCACATTTAGGAAGTGCAAAGTAAAATATTTCCTCGTTAAAAAAAATGCTCAATCAAGAATACAAATATTGTAAAAATTTTGGGGTGTCACACGTATTGCTTCGAGAAATTTCTATGTAATTTCTTGTGATAATAACTTAACACTTGCAAATTTTATGGTAGTTGGACAAATATTTGGCGTAGTAATGTGTTACATTTATATGAACAGAAAAAGAACCCAACTTGGGAGTATAATACTATTATACAAACTCATCCATAAATTGTAACAGGCAATAATCTATAGTATTGGGCCAATTGGCATGGTGTTAAATTTGAGAAGATAAGAGAATCTTCTTTAAATATTCAGCAGTAGCCCAAAGCAACCAATGGGAAATATTGGGAGTTGAAGAAAGTAAAAATTAAAACAAAAAGTATAAATGGGATCCGCAGCAAGCGATAAGGGCCAGCTATCCCTGAGAGCATAATGGGTCATTTGTATCTATACCCGTTTTTTGTGTCACATTTTAATTTGTGTTCGCTTTGTAAAAAAAATTGCAAACGTACCCGTTTTTTTGCATAACTTCAGCATACGGGGCTGAAGTAGCAAAGACAATCACGCAAAACTTCAGCATTCTAGTAACTGGCGAAGTTCCGCTCTAGAGCTGAAGTTTTTGTTTGTAACTGGCGAACTTCAGCTGAAGTTTTTGTTTTGTAACAGGCGAAGTTCAGCTCTAGACCGAGGAATGTTTGCCAGAAACCAAAAGTTCAACCAAGTAGATAATCCAGACTTCCAGATCTGACAGTTTTTACAACACTGACATGCAATTTCAGAGTAAAAAGATTTATGGTCTATCCAAAGAAAAGGGCTGAAGCGAGGCTGANGAACTACAAATCCAAAGTCAAGATGGCAAAAGATCCGAATCAAGAGGCATGCCAAGTGAGTGACCAAATCACTGCCACAAGAAGGACAAAGTCCCAACAAGAATGCAAAATGATCAAACAATCCGTACGAATGGGCGATTTAGCAAATTTCTGACAAGACTTAATATAATACGAATAAAACAATATAAATTGAAGACAATNATCCAAGCTTCAAAACATTCTCCCAACCTCTGCTAATAACATCTCTTTCTAACATATGAAGGTACACAATATCGAAGAAAGGAATGCAAGGAAGCACTACATGGGTAACTAAAACGAACAAAAGCTCCATCACCAACAACTTTCTTTTGGTTCTTATGCAAACGTTTATTCTTCATCCTCCTCGTCACCTTATGCTATGGTTCTGAGGATTTGAGTGAAGCCACAGAAGGAGAGATATTGTTATATCAATGTTAAGTTCCGGAGAGATATGGAGATCACTGGGAGAAGGAGGAGGAGAAAGAGGGTCGAAATTGTTTAAAAAATGGGTACAAGTTAAAAGTTTAAAAAAAATGGATATAGATTAAATGTGGGCGACCAAATAGGGCGCCCGTACAATTTTTACGAGCAGAATATGAATATTTAAGTTTGAGATGGGTCAGGCCCCATTTTTCTCTCGGCTCTTTCAAGTCAAAGCAAACAAATAACATTAGGTTTGCTTCTTTCAATGAAATTGATTTGGTCACACCAACTACTTGTTGAGTGTTATCTAAGATCTGATTACCTTTAAGGGAGTCTCTCTGTCTTTACAAGGTAAGCATAAGATCTGCATACACTCTATCCTTCCTAAATCTCACTTGTGACACTATACTAGATATGTTATTATTGTTGGTCAAAATAGCATGACATAGCCATTTTTACGGGTGATTATTGAAAAAAAGTCAGTGTTTGCAAAGTTATTGAAAAACAGTCACTATTTAAGGCGAAGATAAAATATGGACAAAAGTACTCTAGCTGAAACACGAAAGTTATATCATAATATGCTGGATTATAGAACTCTTGCGTATAAATTTCCAGCATATTATGAACAAATTTGAACTCCAGCATATTATGCGGGAATTTTGCCGAAATTTTAAGGATATTTTTTTTTAGATTTTATTTTCATGTGGAAAAATGACTAAATGTATTTCGGGTTGAAATACTAAAATCGTCTAATTTTGTTTCACAAGTCTTTATGCAATTATAGTAATTACTAAATTATCTTATTTGCCACCAGATTTTTAATTGGTTGTAATAAAACACTTTAATGATTAGTACCAATTCTTTAAAGAGCGTGAATCATTAAGGTAAAGGAAAACAGTGGCTGAGAAATAGTGTGAGTAGCATAAATTGGTTGATAAATTAATGAATAATGATGGTAGCATGATAGAGATGTTGAAAGTGAAAGTTTCGATGATTAGTTGCGAATTGAATACTGGAAAATGTGGGGTTAATGCCACGCAAAATTGCCAAATGTGACGAAACATTTGAAAGTTGGGATCATGACAAAGGCCTTTCACAATCATTTGTGAGATAAGATTATACCATTTGTCACCTTTTTCGCTTTTATCTTTGTTGATGAATGTATTTGAATCGAAGGTGATAGTAAAAAATATAAAAGGGAAAACATATGAATAGGAAAGCTCGACCAAAAAAATAAAAGAATATTTACACAAATAGCCGGCCATAGTCACTATTTATTTTTTCTAGTTATATAAATTATATATAATTATACACATATAATACGTAAGTTATGCATATATTATATATTCACTGGCTATTTTTAGTTTAAGCGGTTGGGTGATCGGCTATTTGAGTTAATTCTTCGGAAAAGAATAAGATATTAGAGCTACAGTTAAAAATATATTGTTGAGGTGCAAGTTCCATTTTCACCAAGTATTTACTTCACATATTCTTGCAGTATAAAACAAAAAACCTTGACTTTATTGATATATATTTTCATTTATATGATATTATTATTACTTGAAGAGAGAGTGAAACAATTTTCTTTGTGATCGTAACTTAAACTTACTTTTCGTCTACCTTGAAATTAAGTAAATTTTTAAAAATTAAAAATAATACTTGAATAAAGGCTAAAAATTAAAACATTTAATCTGCGTAATCCACACTTATGCATACCTTTTGCAACAAAGGACATAAGTTATCATTCTATTTCTACCTTCATCCCTATCGCCGTTCATGGAGTTATCCAAGTTTAAGTTAAATTTTTAGAAAAACGACATTTTTAAACATCTAAATAATTTACAAAAACAAACAAAACTAAAATAACAACAACGAAGATGATATATCCATAGTGATCTCACGAGTGGGATCTCGAAAGGTTGAAATGTACGCGGACCTTGCTCCACTCTTGTGTAAAGTAAAGTAATTTTTTACGACAAACCCTAGGCTAAGAAACAAACAAAAAATAAAGAAGGATAAGAAAAAGGTAATATCCGATGGGAGGCATGCACGACGTTCAAAAAACGCATTCATACATCCAACTTGCAATTCAGCAGTGAATTTATGCTGCTGAAACTGCACATTTGTAATTAACATTTTCCTTTTAGTTAATTATAGTGCATCTAACAAGAACATATATTCTATTTTAGTTATGACTCTTTTCATTTTAGAAATGCTCTAAATTATTTATCTATTCACATTTTTTTAATTCAAATCGATTAAATTGCTCAAAATTTGAAAATTGAGATGATGTTTACCTATCGCGCAAACTTTCAAGTACTATTCTAGTGTTTCTATTCCATTATCGATAAATTAAGTTAAACTAATAGAATTGAATAGGCGAAATGACCTCGTGGCCACTTAAACTTGTACCCGTTTGTAAAGTCGATACATAAACTTGCAGTTTTCCCATTTGAACACTAAAACTTGACAGAACGAGTACTAGTAAACCACCTTGACCATTGACTATGCTTATGTGGCAGTGACATAGGTGATGTGAAAAAAATGTGTATCAATCACGCAGAAAATGTGCGTGAATGCAATAATCTGATTAAAGAAAATACTATAATCAATAGGAAAAAAATTGAAAAAATTAAAAAGAAAAGGAAAAAAACGACTCTTAGCCTGTCAGTACTCATTCCTGCTCTCTTTCTCCTCTTCAACTTAAGCAAGGAGAGAACATCAGAAAGTTTAATTCCGGCCAAAATTCGATATGAAGATTGTGTATTTTTACTTATATCTTACGATTTTGGAGTTTTAGAAAAGATGGGTTATGATTGGTTGCCGGCAAAGTGGAGGTGGCAGTCATTTAAGCTTTATGGAGGTCAAAAGTACTCACTACTCTAAACCACTGGTGGTCTGAAAGAAAACCCTATCATCGAATCTCTTTGCCAAAACAGTAGCAAAAAAGGGGCAGATATTTTGCAATGGTATCCAGTGGCCTTCATTGTTTCAAAATAATGGATTCCTATTGAATTTCTGAAATTCCAAAATTCAATTTTTTCCTGGTCTAATCATGACTATAGTGGAGTTGTTAAATTGATTCAAAATAAGAGAGAAAGAACGGTAAGAAAAAAGAGAAAGGATAAGAAAGAATAAGAATAAGGTAAGAAAGGGAGGTGGGTGAACAAAGAATAAGGACGTGTCAGGTCTTTTTCCTCCTTTTTTTTTGTTTTTAATTTGTGACTTCTTTTTTATAGATTTAGTATTTAAAAATGGGACCCACAAATAATACATGTCAAGTAATAAATTATCTAACATATGATGTGTTGTACATGTTAGCTCAATTGATATACACGCTCTACTGGATGTATTTATTAGACTCATTCTGTCAAGTTGGAGTGTTCAAATGGAAAAACTGTAAGTTTTTGTATCGACTTTACAAACAGGTATAAGTTTAAGTGGCCACGAGGCCATTCCGCCAATTGAATATGATGAGGAATATTATAATTGTGCTCTAACTTATATCTAACCACCTTCATGTCATTTATCTTAAGTGACGTTTTTTCATTTTTACTATAAAGTATCAAATTTGGGATATGTATAGGTCATATTATACGTTTTCACATTATAAAATTATTGTCTATATTTTTCACATAATACATAATTCGAGTTTCACTACTAAAAAAAGCTAGAATTAGCTTCGAACATCGTCGCTAATCTATCGCTAAAATATCCGTAACTAGCAGAATTTTTTGATAATCTATCGTTAATCCATCGCTAAATGAGATTAGCGACGAATTTCTCTATTTAGCTACAGAATTTGTTCGCAACTAGATTTTTTTAGTAGTGTTTTTTACCAATAGAAAGTTCTATTATAATTGAGCTAATCACTTTAGTACAATTGCTAATTTTTTAATATTCTTATGAAATTGAGAGAAGGTAATTTAGCTAGGTGATTACTCTTTCCTAGTGTTTCGTTTTCCTACCAAATTTATGTACCAAACTACACGGTTCCACCTCATGGCTGACACTAGATTTAGTTGGATAAGATTTTAGCTTTCACCAATTAAAACAAAAAAAGAGGATAAGATTTAGCTTAATTGGATCTAAGTGTATACTATATCTAATATGGAAAGTATTTAATATATTTTTGAATTTTATTTCGGTCACATTTCTAGGTTTGATACTTGTAGTAATACTATACTTCTTTAAGTTATTTTTAAAACTATATGATTCTAAAATAGGTTACTAATAATTTTTATCAAGATACCAATTAATACTGAAGAAAATATTCATTTCATTTTTTTTTACGTCAATTACTAATAATTACTAATGATTAATTATGTCAATTAATATATTCTTTTATCCAATGATCGGAAAACAGTAAATAGCGAGAAGAAAAGGTTAAAATGGAAAGAATGATCCAAAGATGCGTTAAAAATACGCCCTTTTCCTTTTTCCTTATTTTCCTTTATTTTTCTTGTTAGATTTCCCGCTCTACTCAAGTCATGCAGAGTGTTCCAATCATGAGCACCGTCGCCGTTCGATCATCCCTGAATCATGCATTTAGCATAGAATCAAACGGCCAAAAGACGAAAGCCCATCATAACTATGATAAAGACGTTCATTTTTCACAAAATCCTCGATCCTCCTCTTTTATCATCAGTATAAAATAGCAGCTAAGCTCCTTGTACTTCGGAAACCCTCCGAAAAGCCGTGAACCTCATTCTTCACTCGTTCCTCACCCTCTTAATTTTCTTTTAATTTATTGTCCGGCAAGGTCTTTTAGGGTTCCGGCAAAGGATGGGATCGGCGTTGTTACCAGATCTTGGAACGCAAATAGTTATTCCAGTTTGCGCCGTCATTGGAATCGTGTTCTCTTCATTCCAATGGTACCTTGTCTCGCGCGTGAAAGTCTCGTCGGAACATGGAGCCACTTCTCCGAGCAGCAACAAAAACAACAAGAATGGATACGGTGACTGTTTGATTGAAGAAGAAGAAGGAATCAATGACCACAACGTTGTTGCTAAGTGCGCCGACATACAGAATGCCATATCTGAAGGTGAAATAAGCTTTTACTTTGGATCTGTTTATGTCCGTCTCAGATTTAGCTTCACTCCTACTTGTCTATATGTGCTCTTTTTTTCATCTCATTTTGCGTATATATAGAAGAGTGCGAAATTTCGCCTTTGTTTCTATTTTGCCGGCTAAATTAAGTGATTATGGACCTCCTTGTGCTTGAAGTTAATTTTATTACAATATTCACTTAATGAGCTAAACATTTTATCGTGATATATCCTAGGGCTTTAAGGTTGCTGAGTTCAGCTCTTCCGTGAGCTGGCTCTGACCCTGGATCTACCTTTGTTCGATTTGATTTTTATCAGCTTGCCTGGATTTCGATAGAATATAGTAAGCAAATTCTATTTTTGTGATGCTCAGTGAAGTAACTTTAAGTGGGAAACTTTGCTGATTCGCTGTCCTTATTGAAGCATAGTGGTTTTTTTTTTTAGTTAAGTTGCTTTTTAATTAATTGAGAGGTTTTCATTGCACTGCTTAGATTCACGTGCCTATTATGGAATGAAAAAAGTTAGTTTGGCAGCCCTCTGCTAAAGGGGAAGTTATAGTTTTAAGGCTTTCTAGCGTATGTTCACACATATGTTTAGGATGTTAGTGCTGTTTCAACTATGCTTATCATTTTTGAATATTTCAAAGTATGCAGCATCATTTTTAGTCAAAGCTGCATATTTGTTATTTACTTAACCTGACTTTATCTGTAGTTGTCCCTAGTCATTTTTGTTTGGTTGATATTAGTTGTGGTCGGCACTCTTTTCCTTGCACAATCAAACTTAATGAAACATATTGCTTGCTGTTTGAGCCATGAGGATTGCCTTGGCACTTTGTCTAAGTGGAACTACTTTGGAAAGTAGAACTGTTAAATGGTCAAGCCTTGTTTAAAGCATTCTTCCGTTGTTCGTATTGTCTCATGTGGTTTTCTAGGAAGTAACATGGAAGTGTGCTACTTTTTGGGACTACTGCTGCATATATTATAATTAGGAGAAAACAATTTGGTTTGTCTAACTTAAGCATGAAGCCTGTCAAAACTTTGTGCATAATACACATGTTTATCGTGTTCAATTTTGACTAAATTCAAAATAAGCACACACTCAAAAGTCTTGTCCCTAGTTAACTAGCATATGCAATTGAGGAGGTTTAGATATTAACTGCTGTCAAATTTTTTCCTTGATGGTTCTATTCTCAACATTTTCGCATGTTGTGATCTTGCTTTCCACACGCACAAGCATGCTTATAAATTAGGTTGTCTAGACCCGCTCTACATGCTTGGTACCTTTTGTTCTTTAGCACTATTTAATATCTGAAATGATTGCTTATGGCAGGGGCAACATCATTCCTTTTCACTGAATATCAGTATGTGGGTATCTTCATGATTGCTTTTGCAATCCTGATCTTCCTTTTCCTGGGATCCGTTGAAGGCTTCAGCACTAGTAGCCAGCCATGTACTTACAACAAGGAGAAGAGGTGCAAGCCAGCCCTTGCAACTGCCATCTTCAGCACTGTATCCTTCTTGCTTGGTGCTATCACTTCCGTTATTTCTGGTTTCCTTGGGATGAAAATTGCAACATATGCGAATGCAAGAACAACTTTGGAAGCAAGAAAAGGTGTTGGGAAAGCTTTTATTGTAGCATTCAGGTCTGGTGCAGTGATGGGTTTTCTCCTTGCTGCCAATGGCCTTCTGGTTCTTTACATTGCAATTAATCTCTTCAAGCTATACTATGGTGATGACTGGGAGGGTCTTTTTGAGGCAATTACTGGCTATGGGCTTGGCGGATCCTCAATGGCCCTTTTTGGTAGGGTTGGTGGTGGTATTTACACCAAAGCTGCTGATGTTGGTGCTGATCTTGTTGGTAAGGTTGAAAGGAACATTCCAGAAGATGATCCTAGAAATCCTGCTGTAAGTTCAACTTCCCTCTTTCGGTGTATTTTATTCCTGGCGATATATATTGTCAACAATCTATTTCTATATCTTTGCAGGTGATCGCTGACAATGTTGGGGATAACGTTGGGGACATTGCTGGAATGGGATCTGATCTTTTTGGTTCATATGCTGAATCATCTTGTGCTGCTCTTGTGGTGGCTTCCATCTCGTCTTTTGGAATTGATCATGATTTCACTGCAATGTGTTATCCCTTGCTTATAAGCTCTATGGGAATCCTTGTTTGTTTGATAACCACCCTTTTTGCTACCGACTTTTTTGAAATTAAGGCTGTCAAGGAAATTGAACCAGCATTGAAGAACCAGCTTATTATCTCAACTGCTATCATGACAGTTGGAATTGCAATTGTTACATGGACTTGCCTCCCATCTTCCTTCACCATCTTTAATTTTGGCACTCAGAAGGTTGTTAAGAACTGGTAAGTATTAACTTAACATTTGGAAAATATTATCTATGGAATATGACACACGTTATTAAATGTTTCTGCATGAGAAGGGAGCTATGCTTTACAATATATTGTGATGTTGAATATGTTGCGATTTCTATTTCTTATCCACTGCTTGAATTTCATTTGTTTGGCTGCTGAATTTACAGCTGTGAAGATGTCCGTGTTCATGTAAGAAATGTGTTTAATGATTAATTAATTGGTCTGATTATGCAGGCAACTCTTTTTATGTGTGGCTGTTGGTCTTTGGGCTGGACTTATAATTGGATTTGTCACTGAGTACTACACTAGCAATGCTTACAGGTAAAAGTAGTAGTCTCACCTCATCCTGTGATGTTGTGCCTGTTATGTTGATAATCTTCAATTCTTCATCTTTGTCTTATTTCCCTTTTCCAATTGTTTCTGCTTGTAGCCCCGTCCAAGATGTAGCCGACTCCTGCAGGACTGGAGCCGCAACGAATGTTATTTTTGGCCTAGCTCTTGGATACAAATCTGTCATCATTCCTATCTTTGCCATTGCGATAGCTATCTTTGTCAGTTTTACTTTTGCTGCCATGTACGGTATTGCAGTTGCTGCTCTTGGAATGCTGAGCACCATTGCAACTGGACTGGCCATTGATGCATATGGACCTATCAGTGATAATGCTGGTGGCATTGCTGAGATGGCTGGCATGAGCCACCGGATCCGTGAAAGAACTGATGCCCTTGATGCAGCTGGAAACACCACTGCTGCAATTGGAAAGGTTTGTAATCCCATCTTTCTTCTTTTCATCTTGTGAGCCTTTCTGGATCCTTCATTTTCCCCCCTTATCCAAATTCATCTTGTTCGTAGTTGTTAACAAGTGGATGGTGATTATGTCTGTGGAGATTGAAATATTGTTCTATGATCCGTGTTTTGGCTCTCATCTGTTTAGTCTTTCTTATCTCTTTAGTCTTTCTTTCCGCTGTCGGCCTTCTTCTTCCAATGTGTCTTCTCCTTTTTGTTAACTGTGGATATTCATTTCTTTCCAGGGCTTCGCCATTGGATCCGCTGCACTTGTGTCCCTGGCTCTCTTTGGTGCTTTTGTGAGTCGGGCTGGAATTTCAACAGTTGATGTCTTGACCCCTCAGGTGTTTATTGGTTTGATTGTTGGAGCCATGCTTCCCTACTGGTTCTCTGCCATGACCATGAAGAGTGTGGGTAGTGCTGCTCTGAAGATGGTTGAGGAAGTTCGCAGACAGTTTAACACCATTCCTGGTCTCATGGAAGGTCTTGCCAAGCCTGATTATGCCACTTGTGTTAAGATCTCAACTGATGCGTCTATCAAGGAAATGATTCCACCTGGTGCCCTAGTCATGCTTACTCCCCTCATAGTTGGTATTTTCTTTGGAGTGGAGACACTTTCTGGTGTCCTTGCTGGTGCTTTGGTTTCAGGTGTACAGGTATGATTACATTCCTTCTGCTTTAATATTATGCAGTTTAGCAATCTGTTCAAGTGGGTTCAGCAGTGTAGTAAAATATGGGGCTTTTTGAAGAATTATATCCAAATTCTTCTCATATATTTCCATTTTTACAGATAGCAATATCTGCATCAAATACTGGAGGTGCATGGGACAATGCCAAGAAGTATATTGAGGTATAGAAGACTCATCTTCTTGTGTGTGTCTTTTTCCAAAAGTAATTCAGGACACTCTGAGTCCATTTGTTTGATTTCTCTGTCAGGCTGGTGCTTCAGAGCATGCAAGGACTCTTGGCCCAAAGGGTTCCGAACCTCACAAGGCTGCTGTTATTGGTGACACAATTGGTGACCCCCTAAAGGACACTTCAGGCCCATCACTCAACATTTTGATCAAGCTTATGGCAGTTGAGTCGCTCGTATTTGCTCCATTCTTTGCCACTCATGGTGGTATACTTTTCAAGATCTTTTAGGGCAGGTTGGAGGCGTTGCGTAGACTTGTGGCATATCTTTCAGTCNTTTCATTATCAACATTCGCATCAAATTGTTACTTCCTATACATTACAAGTTTCTTACGAAATTCGGATTCGATATTCATTTCATGTGCAATTTCGTTAGTAGAAATTATAGCTTCAATTACAAATCTTTTCTCTATATTTGTTAAAGAAAGAAATCAAACATCCTTCTCAAATATCCCCAAGCACGGGATTTTTAAATTAGTTGCTAGTCAGAAGTGGAATTTTGGTGACTGATGATGATGATAATTGTCACTGTAAGGAGGATAGAGGAAAATTGTCAGTCTTGTGGTACAATAGACCTAAGCTAGTGTATCAACTTTCTTCATACTTCATAGACACTAGTTTCCAATTTTGTCTGTATTGTCATTATCCACGTCTAAGATAATGGACCTATGTTTTCAGCTTCTTTTTTTTCACGTCTTAAAGAAAGTAGGTTGTCGTTTCATCATCACATTCATCGGGAAATTGTTGGCTTTGTGTTCTCTGTCCCCTAGTCTTTCGTCTCTCTCTCTCTCTGGTGGGCTTGTCAGAAGAAAATAAGCTGGTGAGCTAATATCAATGTCTCGATTCAAAGGAAATGGCATCTTATGATTTTGTGCCTCTATCCGGCATAAATTTCTGATTGTGCTGAATTAAAGCACAATTCTTATGTAAGAGAATTGAGTCATTTTAGATTGTGTTCGGTAGTTTCTCTCTCTCTCTCTGGTGGGCTTGTCGCTGATAAGTATGTCAGAAGTTTTTCTTAAATCAGTGTCGTAGGAAATCTTTATCATCTTCACTCTGCAGAAAAGCGACGAGTAGCTCATTTCATAGCCATGCTCGGTAGAAATATTTCCCGAGGAAAAAAGATTCTGTTAATTCTAAATCAGGAGCCAATATCCAGAAGTGAGCTTGAGACTACTTGATTTGGGAAAATACACATGTATAGATAGTCGAGAAAATATATACATTTTGTATGTTATATATAAAAATTATATAAATTTTATACACTCTCGACTACTGGATGTAAATAATTTCCGGTGCGAGCTAAAAGTGAAAATTCTCTTACTTGATTCACGTGATTCTTGTAAAAATTGCACGGGGCTCCTATACCCATTTTTTTAAAAAGTTTTAATTTGTACCCACTTTTTAAACACCTTCAGCCCCTTTCTCCTCCTTCTCCTCCTCCATTTTCTTCTTCTTCTTCTTCTTCTTCTTTCTTATGCTGCTGTTGGTGCTGCTATGAAACTTCAGTTCATGAGATGATTGCCATAAGTATGTTTATCAGATTATTTAAAAACAAATTATAAATAATTACGTAAGTTAGTAGACAATAATTTGTGAATATTTTCACGTACGGGAAGTTTAAGATCACACTTAGTGATTATTTTCATGATAATTCTGTTCTTTTCATGTTTATTGTTTCCAAAATTTATGATTTAGATACTATTGACAATTTGATTATTTATCTAGTATGTTAGAAAGCTTTTTCAAAAACTTTAGCTTATATAGTGCTGAAATTTTTACAAATGAACTAAATAACTTTAGCATCTTCTGCTGAAATTTTTGAAAAAGTTTTATGACAAAAATAATGAATTCAAGACAAAAAAACTTCAGCTTATTTTAGTGCTGAAGTTTTTATAAATGAACTAAATAACTTCAACATTTTCTGCTTAAGTTTTGAAAAAGCTTAATGACAAAACTAATGAATCCAGGACAAAAAAAACTTCAGCTTATTTTGTGCTGAAGTTTTTATAAATGAACTAAATAACTTCAGTATCTTCTGTTGAAGTTTTTGAAAAAGTTTAATGACAAAACTAATGAATCCAGGACAAAAAAAACTTCAGCTTATTTTGTGCTGAAGTTTTTATAAATGAACTAAATAACTTCAGTATCTTCTGTTGAAGTTTTTGAAAAAGTTTAATGACAAAACTAATGAATCCAGGACAAAAAAACTTCAGCTTATTTAGTGCAACTACAAACAAAAACTTCAGCAAATACAGAACAAAACTTCAGCTATTATGCTTAAGTTTAGCAATTACAAACAAAAACTTCAGCAAATAGAGAACAAAACTTCAGCTACTATGCTTAAGTTCAGCAATTACAAACAAAAACTTCAGCACACTTGGTTTACTTCAGGCTCGTCTACTAAAATGCTGAAGTTTTGCGTGATTGTCTTTGCTACTTTAGCCCCGTATGTTGAAGTTACACGAAAAAGTGAGTACGCTTGCAATTTTTTTGCAAAGCGGGCATAAGTTAAAACGTGACCCAAAAAACGAGTATAGATACAAATGTCCCGTGATTCTTTTATTTAAGGACAATCAAAACAGAAATATACTTTCAAATTATTCATCAATTTTATTACCTATGGAAAGACAATGGTAAATCTGTATGATACATATCACTGTCACATCTACGTAACTAACTCCTTTTAATTTCCGGGGCTAGTCAAATTGTAAAAATAGTGTGGAGTGATCATTTCTTTACCTACAATTGAAAAATAGCCATAGATAATATCCTAAGTTCGAAGAAAGTAGAAAAGATGAAAAAAAGGGTCTTTACATTCTTTAAGTTGGTTGTAGGAATTTAGATAGTGTCTTAGTCCTGGTGTGACTGATCATCGCCTTGGTAAGCTATTGCTTTACCAACTAACCTACAAATTATTAGCAGCCGCTTCTAGCGGTTGATTCCCTCCTACGGCCACGTTCTTGCACGTTACTGTTTTAGTTCAAGTTATAGCTGTTTTTCAATGACTTTTGAGTTTATGGTTATTTTTCAATTACAGGCTCTAAATGTGGCTACTCGTGAATAATTTCCAATCAAATTAGGATATATTATAATAGATTAGTTACCTCCTATAGTAAAGGTTGATACCTTATTTATTTTAAACAAATACCCTTTTAAAAAATTATATTTCATAGCTACCTTTTGATTTTTATAGCCAAATATCTAATTATGGTCACCTCCTATCCTTAAGCCATAAAATACGCTTTGTATTATTTTTCTCTCATTCTTTCAGATTTTTCTCCACCTTCTCTCTCTCAGCGCTTTGTATAATAGCGGAGATACAAGGACTACACAGCAAATCCGAAATTCAACTGGTAAAAAGCATGAGAGATTTGAGATGAGTTTCTTTTCTTCAAGTGTTTGCCCTAATATTGGTGTGTAATTTTCAGGTACCAATATCTTCATACGGTTGTGCTCGGGGAAGGCATGGTGCCTCTTGAAGTTCAGATCTAGACAAAGGAGATGTACTTGCAAGTTGAATATTGTTTCACTGCTCAATGGAGATACAAAGAATGTGCTTACAAAACACTTCTTTTGTAAATCAGATAGTAGAGTGGGCTCGTTGGGTTGTTACCTGGTAGTCACCCCAAGAAAAGAGAACGAACAGCAGCTGCAAAAAAAGAGGAACGAAGACGACGGAGTTTGGGGCGGAGCAACTTGAATTTTCTGTTAATATATTTCAATGCATTTCAATGTATCTCGCTGTAATTTCATCTATTTCATTGTCTTCTTTTTTTAATTATATTTCAATGTATCTCGCTGTATTCCATGTATATCATTGTATTCACTGTCTAGTTGTATTCCATTAATGTATTCATATATTTTTTTAATTAATATAATCTATTCAAATGTATTATACTCCACCCGTTCCAGTTTATGTGAACCTATTTCCTTTTTGGTCCGTTCCAAAAAGAATGACTCATTTCTAAATTTGGAAACAGTTTAGCTTGAATTCTCAATTCTACCCTTAATGAGAAGCTTTTATGACCACACAAATATTGTGGATCCCCTTTTTGGTTTGTTTAGGACCACAAATTTTAAAAGTCTTCATTTTTTCTTAAACTCCGTGCCCAGTCAAACATGTTCACATAAATTGGAACGGAGGGAGTATAATTTCTTTGAAGATTGCTATGTTTTTGGGGTGTTTTTCGGTTGAGAATCTTTTTTATAACTGGAAATACAAAATTTGTGTGTTATAATTGAGTTTGTTGAGTTATATTAGGAGTCTATTATGTTAATTGATTCACTTTCCGTCTAAAAACAGTGTAATCCCCTGTTTCACGCCGTGAATACAGTCGAATAGAATAATATGTCCAGCTGTAATCCCATGTTTCACGCCATGAATACAGTCGGATACAAAAATCTGTCTAGCTGTAATCCCCTATTTTACGCCTAAAAATGCTACTGTATTAATGAATACAGTAGCTTAAATACATCGAATACACTCTAAAAAATTTGAAAACATAACTATAAGAAGTAATATAGTAAATGGTAGCTACAACTAATTAATAACTGCTAAAATATAGTGGTTTCTGAAAGTTTCTCAATTATAATCTGGGCCTGACACCAGAGTCCAGATTGATCAGCCGATATGATTGTGTCTAACCAAACCCAACGCAACATAAATACATAGGTGTATTAATTGTTGCGAAACACAGGATCAAGAATCTTTTTCTCCTCGTCGGGACCGGGTGAGAAATTAAAAAATAGCCAAATTTATAAGTGGTTATTCAAAAATAACCATAATTTTAAAAGTAATCGAAATTTAGCCACTTTTCACGTAAAGATAAATCTGAACAAAAACACTGTTTCAATTCGGAAAATTACTCCAGTATAATATATCGGTACAACATAATATACTGGAGCTTTTTGCCGTATTGCAGTTCTAGCATAATATGCTGGAAGTTCATACACAGTTGCACCGATCTCCAGTATATTATGCTGGAACTTTTCGTGTTGCAGCAAAATAGTTGCTATTTTTTTAATGATTTTGCAAATGCTAACTATTTTTGGATGATCAGTCCGTCCGAAAACTGGCTAGCCCGATCGGTGCTATTTTTACGGGGACTGGGGGTAAATTCGATAGACAATCGGACATCAAATTCCTCGTCACTTGGTAAAGCCAAACTAGGTCGCTATTAGTGTCTTGGTGATGACAGTTTGCTCAATCCTATCGCGTACTGTTCTAGAGCTAGCTTTGACCCTCGTCACTATAAAATTTTTGTCCCCTTCTCTTCATTTTTCTTTCAGAAAAAAAGATCTTGGAAGTTGAGGTAATACCCATTTCATTCTTTACAATTGCTTTGGGGTTCTGACTTTTGATGAAAAATCTGATTTTGTTTAATGGGTTTCTGTTAATTGGATTGGATTTGTAGTTTTGCCACTGAGATTTGAGCATGGGTAATGCTTCTTCAATGTTGACTCAATATGATATTGAGGATGTCCAAGACCATTGCAACCATCTATGTAAATTATTTTTTACTCATCCATTAGTCTTCTTTTTATTCCTTTTCTTGCACAGCTTGCTAATTAAAAAAAAAAAAAAACAGTTTCACAGCAGGAAATTGTGTCATTGTATCAGAGGTTCTGCCAACTTGATCGGAATTCAAAGGGTTTTATATCAGCTGATGAGTTTATGTCTGTGCCCGAATTCGCGATGAATCCACTCTCTCAGGTTTGCTTTTAAATTTTTATGTTGGTCTTAACTCTTAAGTCTTAACTAGTAAATTTGTATGTAATAGGATACTGGTATTGTTCTTGTTCGTCTTGTTGTTATGTTCTCTGTGTTTGATAATGTGAAATGCATCTTTCCAGAGATTGCTTAAGATGGTGGACGGCTTGAATTTCAAGGACTTCGTGGCATTTTTATCAACTTTCAGTGCTAAAGCGAGCACGGCACAGAAAATTGAACGTATGTCATTAAGTCTTACATGTGCTATATTTAGACCATCTAAATAAGAGGATTGTGTTTAAATAGTGGCATCTTAGATTTTCAAATCCGTTAGCTGGAAGCAGATATGCAGCTAGACATACTACTAGCCCTGCTAGATGTTTCATAGTATTTACGCACATCCGTTAGATTTTTATAAGATTCTTCCGTATTTTCTTTGGTAAATTGTGCCCACCAATCTGCTCCTATGGTTTAAAGAGAAGATCCATTTGTGCCACTGCATGTTTTGATAGTCTTTCGAGGAATTAGGCACTTATACTAGAGGGTCTAAGGGTGGTAATATACCAGCCATATTGACGAAGTCCTCTTATAGCAACAATTGTACAGATACTTATCTTTTATTGCTGTAGTGTATTTCGAAACAAGAGATCTGTTATTGACCTAATGTAATTTTCATAATTCCTTTTGCCCTTTTATTAGCACTTAGCCACTTACTGACTTCTTCAACTACCATTTTGTCTTAGTTATCTTCAAAGTATACGATTCTGATTGCAACGGCAAGGTAACCTTTGATGACATAATGGAAGTGCTTCGGGATTTAACTGGATCATTCATTTCAGACAAGCAAAGAGAGGTACTTTACATCTTTCTCCTTCCCACTTTCTCCTTTTCATATAGATTTTTATTCACATAAAAAACATTAAAAGAGTGCTGTAGTTGTACAAGAGGTATGACTTAGCCTCATATCCAAGGTAGAAGGTTCTCTAGAATATAAAAGTGTGTCAATATGATTTACATCTTTTATCTTACACCATATAGATAGAGATATTAGATCTTCATTCTAAAAGATAGCTAACTCCTAAAAGAGTAGTTTGGATAATATGCTAGACTTCATCAACTTCATTTATGGTATGTACAAGCAATCCAAGTTTTTTGGTATGAATTGCCTTAAATAATCTTCTATTTTTTATATTGAAAAGCGCTTTATGATCTTTAATATCCTGGTTCTTCACTATGATCATTTGCTTGTGTTCACTTTTATTTAAAGGACCATAACTAATAAATCGCTCTGTCAAAAGAGTAACCTTAGAAGTATATAAAACGTGTCAAAAGTGTAAAATGAAAATATCAGTCTGTGAAGTCTTCCCTTTTGTCCCTCTCTTATCTTTAAAGCTAATAGTACTTGTTTCACTGTTGTTACTTGCATGTCTTCCCTTTTTGAAACCTTTTCTTGCTAAACCCAAGAATCTCGTCTACACCTATGTTTTAACATAGGGGTCTAAGTCACTGTTCTAGTGTAAGGCTTTAGAATGTAGTTAGTAGAGTTGTGAACTGCTGCTTCCGTAGACTTGACTTCCGTTCTAGCTTGTGACGGGCCAGCTTTCTCTTTAGTAATACCTAAAGGTATGAATCGGGCCGGGCTAGCCCACTAACAACCCGGTTAGACCCGGTTCAGCCCCATTTGCTAAGAGGTGGGACGGGTTGGCTAGGGTAGGGGGGTTGTGCCGGACGGGGTCGGGCCTTTTTTGGCTACCGGTGCACCGGAATCGGCTAGCCCGCTAACCTGTTCAAGGGTTTTAACCGTGTTCCAGCCTGGTCCAGCCCGATTTTAGTTGTAAAATTATTTTTTTATTCTGACCATTGCCAACGATCAAAATAAAAAAATGACCGTTGAGCAACGACCATTTTTTGCGCTTTTAGCCATTTCGGCATATTTCCTTACTAAAATGCCCCTCCACCCCCTAATAATTGATAAATTGTTACGAAATATAGCTCAAAGTAACAATATAGAACAAGGAAAAACAAGCTAAGAGATGTAGAGAGAGAGGAGAGATTCTTATTTCTTCTTCAATTGTGTTTCATTTCCTATCTATTACAAGGCCTTTATATATACATGAAAAGTGAAGAGTCACTATTGTAAAATAGTGAGTGGAATGGCCACTATTAAGTGGAATGGTCACTACATTAATATGTCATTGAACATGTCATTAAACATTTGAGAGGAAGATCATGGAGGAAGATCATGGGGAGGTTATGGAGATAACGGAAAAGAGTCGACATCCACTATAATTTAATTTTTCTTATTACACTTCCCCTTGGATGTCCATAGATAACGTCTCTCGTCAAAACCTTATTAGGAAAAGGCCCTATGGAAAAAAAATCCTAGTGAAGGAAAAAAAGTACACATATTTAGCAATACGCTTTTTGGTTGCCTCCCCTAAAAACCTTGCAAGGAAAACCCAGTGGGACAAAACCTTGTAAGGGAAAAAGGGTACACTGCGTATCAACTCCTCCTGATGAGAGCATCAATTGACATCCTTGAGCATTTGCATCCCAATCTCGTACACTAGTTTCTTGAAGGTTGATGTCAGTAGAGATTTGATGAACAAATCAACCATATTATCACTTGAACGGATCTGTTGCACATTGATATCACCATTCTTTTGAAGATCATGTGTGAAAAATAACTTTGGTGAAATGTGCTTTGTCTTATTTTCTTTTATGAATCCTCCCTTCAATTGCGCTATGTATGCTGCATTGTCTTCATACAAATTTGTGGGTAGTTTGTCACACTTCAAACCACATTTGTCTCGAATAAGATGTATTATAGACCTCAACCATACTCATCCTCGACTTGCTTCATGAATAACAATTATCTCAGCATGGTTAGATGAAGTAGCCACGATTGATTGCTTAGTCGATCGCCAAGATATGACGGTTCCTCCACATGTAAACTCATTGCCTGTTTGCAATCGAGCCTCGTGTGGGTTAGATAAATAATCAGCATCGACATAACCAATAAGATTGGGACTGCAATCATCGCCATAAAATAAGCTCATATCGGTAGTCCTTTTTAGATACTGCAATATGTATTTGATTCCATTCCAATGTCTCCTTGTAGGAGCAGAGCTATATCTTGCTAAGACATTAACTGAAAAAGTTTATGTCAGGCCTTGTAGTAGTTAGCAAGATATATTAGTGCACCAATTGCACTAAGATATGGTACTTCAGGCCCAAGAAGCTCTTTATTCTTTTCTTGAGGTAAGAACGGGTCCTTATTCACATTAAGTGATCGAACAATCATCGGAGTACTTAATGGATGTGCTCCATCCATGTAAAACCGTTTCATTACCTTTTATGTTGGCAGATTGATTAATAAAAGTCATGTTTACCAAATGTTCAATTTGCAAACCAAGACATAATTTTGTCTTTCCGAGATCTTTCGTCTCGAATTCTTTCTTTAAATAATCAATTGCCTTTTGGAGTTTTGTAGGAGTTCCAATAAGGTTTATGTCATTAACAGATACATCAAGTACAACAAACTCCGATTTTGTTTTCTTTATAAAACACATGGACAAATGACATCATTTATATAACCTTCCTTTAATAAATACTCACTAAGGCGATTATACCACATTCTCCACATTCTTCTTGATTGCTTTAGACCATACAAAAATCTTTGCAATTTGATTGAAAACATTTCCCCAGACTTTGAATTATGTGCGTTAGGCATTTTAAATCCCTCGAAAATTTTCATGTATATCTCATTATCAAGTGAGTCGTAAAGGTAGGTTGTAACCACATCCGTTAAATGCATGTCAAGCTTTTCATGGATAGCAAAACTAACAAGATAACGAAACGTTATTGCATCCATAACAGGAGAATACGTCTCTTCATAATCGACACTAGGCCTTTGTGAAAATTCTTATGCAATAAGGCGTGCCTTATATCTTTGTACCTTATTTTTCTCATTCCCTTTACGTACAGACACCATTTATAGCCAACAGGCTCAACACCATTAGGTGTTTGGACTACAGACCCAAAAACTTCACGTTTCGCAAGTGAATCCAACTCAGATTGGATTGCTTCTTGCCATTTTGGCCAATCACGTCTTTGTCGACATTCTCTTATAGATTGAGGTTTAAGATCCTCACTATCTTGCATAATGCTAGATGCAACATTGTATGCAAAGACATAATCCACCACTATATTCAATCAATTCAAATATGTCTCAATATCAATTGGATTTGTTGATAGTTCCTTTTTTCTTGAGTCTCATGCTCAACGATTTCCTCATGAATCCCAGGATTGGTTAAATCATGGGTTTCTTTATGAGACTCATTTGTAGTGTCATCTTGATAATTTATTTTCCTTTTTCTAGGATTTCTATCCTTAGAACCTAATGGTCTGCTACACTTTAGGCGTGTTTTTGACTCATTAGCTATGACACTAGAAGATTGTCCAACAGGGACATCAATATGGATTGGAACATTCTCTGCAGGGATATGTGATTTTATTATCCTTTTCAGATCCGTAAATGCATCTGGCATTTGATTTGTTATTTTCTGCAAATGGATAATCTTTTGCACCTCTTTTTCACAAATAGAGGCACGTGGATCAAGATGAGACAATGATGGATTTTTCCACAAAATTTCCCGTTTGGTTTCACTAATTTCTCCCCCTAATTTTGGGAAAAATGCCTCATCGAATCTATGGATATCCAAAGGGGAGTGTTATAAGAAAAATTAAATTAAGGTGGATGTCTACTCTTCTCTATTATCTCCATAACCTCTTCATGATCTTCCTATATGATCTTTCTCTCAAATGCTTAATGACATGTTCAATGACATATTTATGTAGTGACCATTCCACTCAGTAGTGTTCACTCACTATTTTACAATAGTGATTCTTCACTTTTCATGCCAATATAAAGGCCTTGTAATATATAGGAAATGAAACACAATTGAAGATGAAATACGAATCTCTCCTCTCTCTCTATATCTCTTAGCTTGTTCTACATTGTTACGTTGAGCTATATTTTATAACACGTTATCAACACGAGACTCTGCTGTCTCAAGAAGCTCTTTGAGAAAACTAAGGTATAATTTCTCTCATCTTTTAATTATGACTGATATTATGAAAAGAAAGTTCGTTATCCTTGAAATTTCGAGCAAGAACTATATGACATGGGTGTTGGATGCTGAAATCCATTTAGATGCAACGGGTCCTGGAGACGCCATTAAAGATAAAAATAAAGCATCTACCGAAGACTGTGCTAAGACCTTGATTTTCTTGCGTCATCACCTTGATGAAGGGTTGAAAATAGAAAATCTCACAATCGAAGATCCACTGTGGAATGGCTTAAAGAAAAGATATGACAACTTAAAGTTGATCACTCTTCCACAAGCACGATATGATTGGGCTCATCCGAGACTCCAAGACTTTAAGTCTGTTTCTGAATATAATTCTGCAATGTTCAGAATTATTTCTAAATTGAAACTCTGTGGAAATAGTATCAGTGACTATGATATGCTTGAAAAAACGTTCACAACGTTTCATGCCTCCAATATGGTCTTGCAACAGAGTATCGAGAGAAAGGTTTCAAGTAGTACTCTGAGTTGATTTCTCTTCTCCTTGTGGCTGAACGAAACGACGACTTGCTTATGAGAAATCATGAAAATCAACCCACTGGGTCTACACCATTGTCTGAAGTGGATGAGGTGTATTCCCATTATGCTAAGCGTGGGAAAGGTCGTGGCCGTGGCCAAGGAAGAAATTTTCTTGGTGTTAATCATTTCCCAAAGAAAAATAACTTTCAAAAATGGAAAGGGAAAGATGAGAAGGCAAAGGGTTCAACAACTGAATGTTATCGTTGTGCTGGAAAAGGGCATTGGATAAATATTTGTCGCACACCAAAACATTTGGTTG